CCAGCAAACGACTCCCGGTCCCCACCACCGTCCGCATCACATCCCCTACTGGTGTTCCCAGCACCACTGTCCTCACCACCGCTGTCCCAACTGGTTCCACCACCGCCCCTACTGTCCCCACCAGTGGCCCCACCACTGTCGCACTGTCCCCGCTGTCCCCAGAACTGTTCCCACCACGGTTCCACTCTCCCCACTGTCTCCACGGCCCCAACCACTGCCCGACTATCCCTACTGTCCCCACTGTCCCACTGACTCCTCCGCTGTCCCACTGAGCTGTCCCACTGTTCCCACCACTGTCCCCACTGTCCCCACCACTGTCCCCACTGTACCTCTGTCCCATTGTCCCACCGCCGTCCTCGCCACCGCCTTCACCACTGTCCCCACCACCATTGTACCCTCCACTGTCCCAATGTTTCCACCTCATTCCCATTGTCCCCACACCACTGTCCCCACCACCACCGTCACCACCACTGTCCACTGTCCCCCCCTGTTCCCACCATTGTCCCCACCACTGTCCCCACCACTACCGTCCCCACCACTGTCCCACTGCCCCACTGTCCCCACCACTGTCCCGCTATCCCCTCACCACTGTCCCCACCAACACCGTCCCCACCACTGTCCGCACCCCCACTCGGTTTTCGAGGGGGGGGGGTTCGAACCGGCAGTGACCCCCCCCGGTTTTCCGGATCCGGAGGGGGGGGGGGGTTCGAACCGGTAGTGACCCCCCCCCCTTTTCATGATGAGCAGGGGGGGGGGGGGGGGGAGGGGTTCGAACGGTCAGTGACCCCCCCCGGTTGTTCCGGAGGTGGGGGGGGGGGGGGGGAGGGGTTCGAACCGGTAGTGACCCCCCCCCGGTTTTCCGCCAGCAGCGGTAGAACACGCTCTTTCCCACATTGGGAACGAGGGCGCTTGGGCGCGAGCTTGCGCGGGCAGCTTACGCGCGAATGTCGGCGAAGACGAACCCGTCTTTGTTGCGGTGCTCACCTGCACGTCCGCGGCCAAGATGGCGCTCCCGTCGGCGGCCTCCTCGATGCCGGCAACCCCGCTGACGGAGGACACGATGGAGGCGCCTATGCCGTCGTCTGCCTGGAGGTTGCTCACCACCTCCTCCGCGGTCGCCGGGAAGCTGCTTGGGACGCGGATGGTGGCCAAGACCACCACGGATCCCTGAGACAGCTGCACCTCCACCACCGATACTGGAACGCCCGCCTTCACCGCCACCTTCGGTGGCAACTCATGGGAATATCCCATGTCATCTTGCTGGATGCTGCGAATCGACGCTGATTGGCGACCGTCCATCGACGCCGATTCGACGATAATCGACGCTAGTCGACGCTTTCTCATGGATTACCAGACGCTAGCGCACCTTAGTGTGCAATCCAGAGATACAACGCCCTCACACAATGGGTTCTGGGGCGCGATCCCGCGCATACGCGGTCGCACAGAAATAAACCACGCGGAACATCCAAAACAAATCGTCCCGCTTCAGCTGGGTCGCGGCGCAGGGGCCTGTCCAGGAAGGCCGCGGATACGGATATAATTTCCAACCACAACGGATTTCGAGGACATACGGCTCCCATTCGTTGCTACCGATCGCCACCGTCTCCCTGCAGGTGAGCTCGAAGTCGGCACGGAGGTCCTCGTCGGCGTCCAGCAGAGCAAAGTCCACGCCCGCCACGGTCATGCGGACGACTACCTCCCCAGAGGGGGGCGGCGTTGGCGCCGGGCCCGCCGCCGAGGCTGCCGTAGTCGAAGCCACAGGGGCTGGCGTCGGCGCTTCCGTCGGAGCCTCCGGTCGCGAATCTGTCTGGGTTGGCTCAGCCCTCTTTCACATCCTCTTCTAACTTCCTTTTCATCCCCATACCGCTCGTCTTGCTCCACCCGCTCCTCCTCCTCCTCCTCCTCCTCCTCCTCCTCCTCCGCCTCCTCCTTCCTCCTCCTCCTCCTCCTCCTCCCTCATCCTCCTCTCCTCCTCCTACTCCTCCTCCTCCCTCCTCCTCCCTCCTCCGTCCTCCTAATCCTCTCTCCTCCCCTCCTCCTCCTCTCCTTTTTCCGCCCTCTCCTCGTTCCCGCCTCCTCCTCCCGCCTCCTCCCTCCCGCCTCCTCCTTCCTCCTCTCCTCCTTCTGTTCCTCCTCATCCTCCTCCTCCTCTCCTCCTCGTTACTCCTCCTCCTCCCTCCCCCTCCTCCCTTATCCAGTCTTTCCCGGCACTACCTCCAATATCCTCCCTCGTGAGATTTTTTCGGTCCTCTTCTCACACATCTCTCCTATCCCTCTCCTGCCTCCTCCTCCATCCTCCTCCTCCACCCCCTCCCTCCGGCCTCCTCCTCCTCTCCTCATCACTCCTACTCCTCCTCCTCCTCCTCCTCCTCCTCCTCCTCTTCCTCCTCCTTCCCCCTCCTCCTCCTCCTCTTCATACCCTTCGCGTTGTTCACCACACGACAACTCCGCCTCATTACTCTCATCCTCATCAACCCATCATCCTCGTCAGCGCGACCTCGACATGTGCAACAATATCGCCACCATGTTCATCATCATCGTTATCATCATTAGAACAAACAACAGGAGCATCATCAACAACGTCATGTTCATCATAATCATCGCCAACATCAACACAATCAACAACATCAACAACAACACAAACATGATCACGATCATCCGGCAATGCCTCACCGACCTGGTTTGGGCTAGGCCTGGACGCTGTCCGCAACGGTGGTCGCATCGCATCGCATCGTCATTGTATTCCTGTTCGTTATTCCCATCCTCATCCCAGCACGCGTCGGCATACTGATACTTCTACGGCTAGTATTGCGTCTTAAACTCGCCTTGGCCGTCGTAGTCGAGGCCATAGGAGCTGGCGTCGGCGCCTCTGGCGGATGCTCCAGCGGCGAAGCGGGCGGGATTGGCCCGAGCCCCCATGTGACCTCTCTCTACCAACACTGTTCTCTACATAATCATGGTAAGAGTCGTTGGCGTCACCATCACCATCATCACCGTCACGCCCATCATCATCATCATCATCATCATCATCATCATCATCATCATCATCATCATCATCATCATCATCATCATCATCATCATCATCATCGTCATCATCGTCATCATCGTCATCATCATCGTCATCATCATCAGCATCATCATCACCGTCGTCATCATCATCATCATCAGCATCGTCAGCATCAGCAACATCATCATCAGCATCAGCATCAGCATCAGCATCAGCATCATCATCATCATCATCATCATCATCATCATCATCATCATCATCATCATCATCATCATCATCATCATCATCATCATCATCATTTACGTATATACATAAAGATACGCATCTGCACACACACACACACACACACACACACGTATATGTATATGTATATGTGCTCGGCATCGCTACACCATCACCGTCGTTACATTCGCCACTGTCATCGCCATCGTAAGGGGTGTGCCGAATTGGGTATGCGGGGCGCATGCGGCCGGCCGCGCTGGGGCCTTCGGTGGAGCTCCCTGCCGAAATGGGTGTGCGGAACGCATGCGGCCGGCGGCGTTGGGGCCTTCGGTGGAGTTCCATATGGGGCCACGAAACGTGTGAGGGTTGTGCAAATTTGGGTGTGAGGGACGCATGTGGAAGCCAGCACTGGGGCCTTCGGTGGAACTCCCCCTGGGGCCACGAAGCGTGTGAACGGTGTGCCGAATTGGGTATGCGGGACGCATGCGGCCGGCAGCACGGGGGCCTTCGGTGGAGCTCCCTATGGGGCCACGAAACGTGCGAAGGGTGTGCCAGTTTGGGTGTGCGGGACGCGTGTGGACGGCAACACTGGGGCCTTGGGTGAAGTTCCCTTTGAGGCCACGAAACGTGTTAAGGGTGTGCCGAAATGGGTGTGCGGGACGCATGCGGCCGGCGGCGTTGGGGCCTTCGGTGGAGCCGCCTTGGGGCCACGAAACGTGTGAGTCGTGTGCCGAAATGTGTGTGCGGGACGCATGCGGCCGGCGGCGCTGGGGCCTTCGGTGGAGCTCCGTATGGGGCCACGAAACGTGTGAGTGGTGTGCCGAATTGGGTGTGCGGGACGCATGCGGCCGGCGGCGCTGGGGCCTTCGGTGGAGTTCCCCATGGGGCCACGAAACGTGTGAGTGGTTTGCCGAAATGGGTGTGCGGGACGCATGCGGCCGGCGGCGTTGGGGCCTTCGGTGGAGCTCCCTATGGGGCCACGAAACGTGTGAGGGGTGCGCCAATTTGGGTGTGCGGGGCGCATGCGGACAGCAGCACTGGGGCCTTCGGTGAAGTTCCCTATGGGGTCACGAAACGTGTGAAGGGTGTGCCGACATGGGTGTACGGGACGCACGCGGCCGGCAGCGCTGGGGCCTTCGGTGGAGCCCCCTTATGGGGCCACGAAACGCGCGAGGGGTGATGGCGCTGATAACGGCGATGATGATGACGATGATGGTGATGATGACGGGCGAAAAGAGGAGGGAGAGGGGAGGAGGAGGATGAGGGAGGACGCGGGGCGCTGTCTTTTCAAAACGAGGACCCAACACCGCAGGATGGTTGCGAACCGCGCGAGGGGTGCGCCGAAATGGGGCGGCGGCGCCATGCGAACGCAGGAGCAGGACGGACTGGGGCAGGACGGAGGATGACGCCAGCACGATTGGGAACCTGATAGAGAATGCAGGGGGGATGGGGCAGGAGGAGGAGGAAGAGGAGGAGGACAGCGCGGCATCTGAACCGCTCTCCGCGAGCTTCACCGCAACCGCGGGCGCTGTTTCAGCCGACCCGTCGGCCGACGCCCCGGCCGACGGGGCCAGAAGCCAGCCGCGCTCGCGCTCGCGGCCTGTCGCGGACATGACCCCGAAGCCCCCGCCCGAAACCGAAGCCGCCACACACGAAATCGAACCGAATGCCTACGGACAGGCCGGTTAGAACTCGAATCGTGTTCTAAGTAGAGCGGTTGGCATTCACATCGATAGCGGACAAGTTCTGGTAGAACTCAAATCGAAATCTAGCACAAGCGTTTGGAGCTCACATCGACATCTAACCAGGTCCTCCATCGAGCTCTAGCCATGGCGGCTGTTGGAGCTCGAATCGAGCTCTAACCAGGTCGGTTAGTGCTCAAACCGAGCTCAAACCAGGTCGGCTAGAGCTCAATGGAACTCTAACCAACACGATTAAAGCTCGAATCGAAATCTAACAAGGTCGGTCAGAGCTCAGCGCGACCTCTAGCAAGGCGGATTAGAAATGGATGGGGTGCACGCGCGCGAACCCTGCCATTGGGCTCTTCGGCGGTGCCCCCGATGGGGCCGCGAACGCAGCGCGCGCGGGCGCGAAAATTAAACTCCCCCCCACCCCCACCGAGCCGCCAGCCCCGAGAGGCATGCGCGACGCCGAAGGTGGAGCCCTCAAGGCCCTCTGCGGGATAAAAAAAAGGAGCCCTGAGGGAAGGGGCTAAGCGCTGCGCTGGCGGCGCGACGCTGCACTGGCAACGTCGCCTTTCCCGCGCGTCTGGCGGGCGAGAAAAAAATAGCCTGGCGAGGGGCCCAACCATATGCAGGTGTGAGTACCGCAATAGTGATTCACTTTTTCGGTGGCGATCCCTATGAGGCAACGAACCGCGCTAGGGGCGTGCCGACATGAGCGGCGCGGTACACAACGCGAACGAAAACGATTGATCTGTGTACGTAGGGAGACTGAGCGCGGGTGCATCCGCGCGCGTGCGTCTGACTGTGAATGAATCTGCGCGCGAGCGAATCTACGTGCATGAATGCGAATATGACAAAGCGTGGTGCAATTGTGCATGAACGCCAATAGTTTGACAATGACTGCCTCTGACAACTCGTGACGCTCGGGGGCGGCCGCCGCAAGGAGCTTCCCCGGGACTTCCCGACGGCATCGCCCGCGCGCCGCGACGTCAATGTCGGCGCGCCCCCACGCGAGGATCGCGCCCGCTTCCTCCCCTTCCTTTACTCCCTCTTTGCCCGCGCACTCAAAAGTCCAAGGCTGCGGGCGCAGCGCAGCGCGGAGCCCCCGCGACGCGCGCAGGTCGCCCCGGAAGGGGTCCCAGCGACGCGCGCGGGTCGTCCACTGCGCGGAGCAGAGAGAGCTAGCTGGCTGGCTGATAGCGGGCAAGGCTCGCCGCTGGGCAGAGCGACGACGGGCGAGCGAGGCGCTGGGCAGAACGCAGCACGGAGCCCCCGCGACGCGCGCAGGTCGCCCCGGAGGGGTCCCAGCGACGCGCGCGGGTCGCCCGCTGCTCGGAGCAAAGAGAGCTAGCTGGCTGGCTGGGACCTGCGGCGGGGCTCCATATGAGGCCACGTAACGCTGTACTCGGCAAGGGGGGCGCATGCGGACTGCGCCACGGGGACCTTCGGTGGAGTTCCCTATGGGGCCACGAAACGTGTGACGGGTGTGCCGAAATGAATGGCCGGGACACGTGCGCACTGTGCCACTGGGACCTTCGGCGGAGCTCCTATGGGGCCACGAAACGCGCGAGGGGTGCGCCGAAATGAATGGCGGGGACGCATGCGGACTGCGCCACGGGGACCGTCGGCGGAGCTCCTATGGGGCCACGAAACGTGTGAGGGGTGTGCCGAAATGAATGGCGGGAACGCATGCGGACTGCGCCACTGGGACCTTCGGCGGAGCTCCTGTGGGGCCACGAAACGTGCGGGGGGTGTGCCGACATGAATGGCGGGAACGCATGCGGACTGCGCCACGGTGACCTTCGGCGGAGCTCCTATGGGGCCACGAAACGCGTGAGGAGTGTCCTGAAATGAATGGCGGGGGCGCATGCGGACTGTGCCACCGGGACCTTCGGCGGAGCTCCTGTGGGGCCACGAAACGTGTGAGGGGTGGGCCGACATGAATCGCGGAGACGCATGCGGACTGTGCCACCGGGACCTTCGGCGGAGCTCCTATGGGGCCACGAAGCGTGTGAGGGGCGTGGCGAAATGAGCGGCGGGGACGCATGCGGACTGTGACAATGGGACCTTCGGCGGAGCTCCTGTGGGGCCACGAAACGTGCGAGGGGTGTGCCGACATAAGTGGCGGGGACGCATGCGGACTGTTCCACGGGAACCTTCGGCGGAGCCCCTATGGGGCCACGAAACGTGTGAGGGGTGGGCCGAAATGAATGGCGGGGGCGCGTGCGGACTGTGCCACTGGGACCTTCGGCAGAGCTCCTATGGGGCCACGAAACGCGTGAAGGGTGTGCCGAAATTACACGCCCACAAGGACCTTCGGTGGAGCTTCCTATGGGGCCACGAAACGTGCGAGTGGTGGGCCTAAATGGGTGCGCGGGACGCATGCGCACACACCCGCTGAGACCTTCGGTGGAGCTCCATATGGGGCCACGAAACGTGCGAGGGGTGTGCCGAAATGGGCGTGCGGGACGCATGCGGGCACACCCACTGGGACCTTCGGTGGAGCTCCCTATGGGGCCACGAAACACGTGATCATATAACGTCACTCTACAATATCACAAATTGAAATTATCTAATAGTAAATCCTATTCATTTATTACTATGAAGGGTAGTGCCGAAAATGGGTGTGGCGAGGGACGCATGCGGGCACACCCACTGGACCTTCGGTGGAGCTCCCTATGGGGCCACGAAACGTGTGAGGCGTGTGCCGAAATTAGTGTGCGGGACACGTGCGGGCACACCCACTGGGACCTTCGGTGGAGCTCCCTATGGGGCCACGAAACGTGCGAGGGGTGGGCAGACATGTGTGTGCGGGACGCATGCGGGCACACCCACTGGGACCTTCGGTGGGCCCCCCCTATGGGGCCACGAAACGTGCGAGGGGTGTGCCGAAATTGGTGTGCGGGACGCATGCGGGCACACCCACTGGGACCTTCGGTGGGGCTCCCTATGG